AACCTGGAATCCCCCATGTAACTCAAAACTTGCTTTTCTATTAAACTAAAATAGACATAAAATTTATTATTACTTTCATTAAAGTTAGAAAAAAAATATAATACTCATATTAGATATAATAAATTAATTAAGTACGCATATATATAAGTTAAAAAAAATATAAATTTTTTATTCGTACAAACATAATGTATACATATATTATATATGACATATGTACGTAACAGTACTATAGTATCGGTATAGATAATAGCCGAACAAGAATTTGATTTTCATAGTTTAAAATAACAGCAAATCACAGACAAATATTTTGTGACGATCATCATGTGATTGCCATGATCATTCGCCACCACTAATCCACTAGCTAAAATCTCTTTTATATTTTCTTTCGAATATGAAATACTTTCATTTTCTTTAGGAATCTAGGCGATATCAATAAAATTAAATTGCTTATTTACCTCTTTTGCTTTTATGAATATGTATTGACTTGTTTTACACTTTTTTTCTTTTAGTTTTCGACTTATTGCATGCTTAATATGCCATAAGCATAACTGAATTTTTACTTTTCCAGACCAAGCCTCTTGTACGGCTGTTATTTGACCTGCATCTTTATCCATAAGAACAAAAGTTAGTAGGATATATTCATCTCTTAATGATAAAAAGAACTTTTTAAGAACTTTTAATTGTGAATTAATTTTATTTTTAGGATGTTGAAAAAGATCTTTTGAAGCTACAAAAGTATCAACGAATAGATAGGCGAGTGGAACACCATGTCCTCCATGATTTTTTAATACTGCGAAGAGTTCAAATTTTTGTTGATTGGTTTTATATATAGAATTAACAATAATTTCATTTATATCAGATTTTTTTATATAATTATTAAAAGAGGTAAGAAATCCAAATGCATGAACAAAGTTATTTTCGATATATAACAAAACTTTAAACCCTTCATCAACTAATTCGCTTTGTTTTAAAAAGTTTAAAGAAGAAAAAAGTTGATTCGATGTATTCATAAGATATTGTTGAGCAGAAAACTTTGATGCCCAATAATATACTTGATTATAGCTATGTATTTTTGGATCTATTTGACCTTCTTCGCAAAGTTGTTTATAAATATCAATTTTTTTGAAATTTTGTTTTATATTTTTAGAGATCCAGACTATAGCATTTTCAGGTAATTTATTATCATGATGAGTTGGATGTTTATGAGAAATTAAGTGCCGAATTTCAATTTTTGCTTGATATATACTAAGATTAATATTGATTATAGCATTTTCTTCACATGGATATTGGTTAATTAGAAGCCTTATTTCACTTACTCTTTTTGCTAATTGGTCAGTTGGATGTTTATACTCTCTATTTTCTCTTTGGCAACAACCAAGATAGATTGATGCCTTTTCAGAACTATTTTTATGAATATGAATTTTTCTGATTTCCCAATAATAATGTGATCCAGATTCGACAGGTAAGAGAAAAAAATTACTTAATTTACGAATTTTGACCTCAATATTATCGTTTAGAACTTGGGAATTGTCAATCAATTTATCCTCAAATTCAAATGTATTTAAAAATTTTATTTCTTGACTTTCTTCATTCGCAAAATGCATGGCAACTAATTCTTCTAACTCGTTTAACTCATATAAAACGCTATCTTCTAGATCATTACTTTCATCTTGATAATCAAATTGATTTGAAATTTCAGAAGTTTCAAAATCTTCATTAATATTAGATTTTGAAGACTTTTTTTTTCTTTTATCTGAACAATTATTACATGTATCTAACTCTTGTTCTTCGCCTCTATAAAATCTAGTAAATTCTTCAGGTCTTTTATGTTTTGAACAACAAGAATATCTACGGAGATCAGTGATATCAACTATTTGATCTAAACGATCCATAATTTTTATAAGTGTATTTACTTTTAAGTATATTAAAAAAAAATAGGGCAAGGTATTTGTATGATTCTTTGTAGTTATCTTTATTATAGTAAAAAAAATTAATACTTTTTAAATACAAAACAAGAATTATATGTCTAAAGCCTAAAACCAAAACATCTTATAAAGAATTTTTTTATTTAAAATTTTTTTTATAAGTTTCATTCTACTATTTCTTAATAATTATATTGCTTTA